CATTTACTCTAACTGATCTGCGAGCCTTGTAGCCCGTCAGCATGCTTCATCCCACCCTCGCTCTTCAAAGCCTGTTGCTCACCAGCCAAACGTTAGATGCCTTCCATTATTATTATTAGTAGTAGTAGTAACAGCAGCAGCAGTAGCAGTAAAAATTTAGTATTAATATTTTATTAAATATTATAGTATATAATAGTTAGTATTCATTTATTAATAGTAATGTTTAATTTAACATTATTATTATTATTATTTTGATATTTAATAAATATGCATTTATCAACAAATATCACATTTAAACTGTTTAGAAATTCATGGTTGATGCATCATGGTTGCAAAAATAAATTAGAAATAAAATGAAATAAAATAACAAAAGAAATAAATTAGAAACAACAATGTATAGGCAAGGTTAGGCACTTCATGTCACTGACCATTGCTAAAAGACAAAATAAATGAATAAATTAATGAATGAATTTAAATATTTTATTTTAATTAACTTAATAATAATATTCTTATTAATGTAAATTAGTAATGTAAATGATTACTAGATGCACATTTATTCTTATTCATATTAGCATTATTATTAGTAGTAATATAATAATAATATTATTATTATATATTATATAATAATATTTTCAAGTGAGTGTCTGTATAATGCCCCTTAAATTAACTGTAGTGATGTCTAAACTTCTTTCTTCTATATTTTAGAAAGCAATTTGGTCTGGTGTGAAAAGCAGGGTCAAAAAAACAAAACAAAAATGACAGGGCAGTATAAGAGGTTATCAAAATCTGTTTCCCCTCACTTTTTAACACAGAATGGCTTTTATTTTACCAAAATTCTCTCTGGTGATGTCTGAACTTCTTCAGTTTATGTTCTAGAAAGCATATTTCTCTGATGGCAAACAACAGGGTCACCAAATCTGACAAGGCTCAAAAGTTGTAGGAAGGGGCCAAGGTAGTATGACGTGATAGAAGAAAAACCACCTAGAATCTCCATGATGCTTCTCAGTCACCATAATGCCCTGTTCTTCAGTGGGCTACAAATAATGACATGTGGTTGATAACCCATCCAGAACTGCGGTGCATAGGGTAAGCATTAATGGACGTGTGGTTGTGGTTCAAGCTGAGAGAGCATGAAACATCTGGCCGTAACTGCTCAAACTCTCCAGAGCATGCCAGAAGGAATCATTTGGCCTCAAGTTTATTTCCCTTACTTCCTCAAATGTGTTATAGCATGTGGAACATCTGTCTGGCACTGTGTGGTTTCAAATGATCTCGTCTGCAGGTTTTGTCGGAAGAAGAGAAGGGCTCCACAGCAGGAGAAGAAGATGAGGAATGGGAGAAGGCCTTGTCTGTGGAGAGGTTTGGGGACATCATCACTGAGTCTGCCATCAATGGAGCAGACAAAATGGGCCGCAGCTACAATGAGAAAGACTTTGAGTGTAAGTACTGTCTGATGCGTAACTCACCACAATTATATGTGACCCTGGACCACAAAACCAGTCATAAGGGTCAATTTTTCGAAATTGAGATTTATACATCATCTGAAAGCTGAATAAATAAGCTTTCCATTGATGTATGGTTTGTTAGGATAGGACAATATTTGGCTGAGATACCACAATTCGAAAATCTGGAATCTGAGGGTGCAAAAAAAATCAAAATATTGAGAAAATCGCCTTTAAAGTTGTCCAAATGAAGTTCTTAGCAATGCATATTACTAATAAAAAAATAAGTTTTGATATATTTACGGTAGGAAATTTACAAAACAACTCCATGGAACATGATCTTTATATCCTAATGATTTTTGGCATAAAAGAAAAATCGATAATTTTGACACATACAGTGTATTTTTGGCTATTGCTACAAATATACCTGTGCTACTTATGACTGGTTTTGTGGTCCAGGATCACATATGTGCACTCAATTTTCAATAATTCCTGAGTGGATAATCTTAATGTCATGTTGTTTAGAAATGTTTTGACATCTGTTTAGTTTAGTGTGCAAGTTTAGTGGTCATTTGAGACAGATTTTGAATAGTAATATTAATAATAATATATATTATAATTATTATTTATATTGATATCAGTATTTTATTAATATTTATTAAAATTATTAATAATAATAATAATAAAATAATTGTGTAATTCTAATTGCTATTCATATTAATTTTAGTTAGTTAATATCAACGTTATTGTAGTAGCAGCTATAATAATAATAATAATAATAAATGTTAATACATTTTTATTCTTATTATTGGTTTTAGTTTTTATTTCTTTCGTTTAAATTAACATTATTATTAATAATAGTAATAATATAAATTATTAATGTAGATTATTATTATTATGCATATTTTATTCTTTTTAATAATAATAATAATAATAATGGTCAGAAAAGGCAACTAACTGAAATAGATAAGTTTAGGTTAAAGTACTAAAATTACTGAAATGAAAACTGGTATAAAAATTTAAGGTAAATACAAATGTTATTTTAGTTATTTATTGATTATTGACAGTACAGTAGGTGGTATAGGACACATTAGCATTCATAATTTAAATGTAATCAGTGCATTTCTGACTTCCTTCAAATCTGGTTTGATTGATCGGATCTGTTCTGCCATAAAAAACATGCAGTAGCTGCGCCAACGCTGTAACTGAGGTAAAATGGCTTCAAAGTATTTTGATTGAAACTGAATTTGTATTGATCTGATATCAATTTTCACGCTCCATTTTCTTTGAATCTGAGCATAGTTGAGCCAAACCTGTTTGTCACATGGCAGATCACACTCTAAGGCCCAATCCCAATTCTACCCCTTAGCCCTTCCCCTTTCCCCTACCCCTCCGTTTCGCGCGTTCACGTGAAGGGGTAGGGGTGTCTCAATTCTCTTTTGGTTGGAGGGGTAGGGGAAGGGGAAAAACTAAGATTTTTCGGGACCACACTTCAAGCGAAGGGGTATGAATTATCTCAGCGTAAACCGGATTCAGGGGCAACATGGCTGCTCGAGCGAACAAAAAGACACTTAAATGTAAGCATTTTTGACATTAATAAAGATTTTAACGAAAAGTAATCATTTGTTTTATGTTACATTCAATCATGAGTTCATATTTATGGTCATGTTACTCAAAGAAATGTTTGCAAAAAAATCGCTAATATTTGCTAAGGAGAGAGAGATGAGAGTTGCGTGTATGCGCGTCTGTGCGTTTCTCTTTTTAGAGTGCGTTTACTTAAAAAACAGCGATTTATCCTCTTGTTGCTGGAAAATAAACTGTTAAACTGTTATTAATAAAAGTAGTGGGGCAGCGTTGACAAGTTTCTTTTCTCCTGGATGTGTGAGCTGCGCGATCTCCGATATATATATGTGTGTGTGTGTGTGTGTGTCAGTAAGTTGCACATTAATATAGAACGGTAATTAAAGACTCTAATGCACACCAGCACAGCAGTATAGGTGTGTGTATTGTAGGAGCTAGACGACGTATGATGACGTGTGACGGCATAGTAGTGGTGTCCCAATTCTTAGGGGAATATTTTCACCCCTACCCCTTGACACTCTGTTTCAAGGGACAAGGGGAAGGGGTAGGCGGAGGGGTAGGGGAAGGGGAAGGGGTATAAAATAGAATTGGGATTGGGCCTAAGAGTCCCGATCAGTTTCCACAAAATGCATTAAGCATTTTTGCACATCAGTGTTTAGAGCTGCATTTAGTGCTGGCCGCTTGTGACTAAATTAGGTCAAAGATACAGTCATTTCAAAACATACTTTGTTAAAAGCTATTAAACTTTAAATGTTTTCAAAGCATCAGTTTGCTAGAAAGTTCCATGTTCAGATGTGTAATTCTACAGAAGGTGCCTCAGAAGTACAGACAAGACTTTTAACGGCTCTCTCACATTCCCCGGCCTCCCGTGGGGCTGCGTCTGTGCCAGTCGCTTTCCGGACCCTGATAAATCAAGGCCCACATTTCCATCTACATGTGGCGACAGTAGTAGGAGGTGTAAACTAGCCTGTGATTCATTCACAGTGGAGCCGAGAGGCAGCTGCAGGACAAATCACACATTAACGTCTCTGTTGCAAGAACTACTCATACAGTCAGCATCAAATTCACAGACTTAGACAAACTGTATGATATTTCCTTTACTTCACATTCCTCATCTTTTTTGTGCACAGTTCATCAGTGTTATTCCAAAGGAAATAATTTCGCAAATCAGTCATACTTTTCAACCCTCCACCCATCTGATTCCTGTTTTGTGTGTAAATTCCCCATTTTCAAATTCCAATCAGTTCTCTTATTCAGTTTTTGTTATTATCATTATATTTGTGGCCAGAATTGCAATTGCGGAATGAATTTTTAGAACATTTGCACAGTCTTGGTCGACAAACAGATGTACTTCTACACCACCGTTAAACAGTTTTTTTTAATGGTTTTGAAAGAAATCTTTTATGTTAACCCAGGCTGCATTAATTTGATCAAAAATGCAGTAAAAAAAGGTAATATTGTGAAATATTACAATTTGAAATAACTATTTTCTATTTGAATATATTTTAAAATGTAATTAATTTCTGTGATACAAATCTGAATTTTCAGCATCATTACTCCAGTCTTCAGTGTCACATGATGCTTTAGAAATCATTCTAATATGCTGATTTAGTACTCACGGAACGCTTCTTATTATTTTTAATGTTGAAAACAGTTGTGCTGCTTAATATTTTTGTGGAAACGTTTTTTTTTTTCAGGATTATTTGATAAATAGAAAGTTCAAAAGAATTGTATTTATTTGAAATAGAAATCTTTAATTTCACTTTACTGTCAAAATAATAGTTTTTACTGTTACTTCTGATCAATTTCATGCATCCTTACTGAATAAAAGTATTAATTTATTTTTTTATCACTAACTCAAACTGTTAAACGGTAGTGTATAAAGTATTTTAATATTGAAAAAAAGTTATATTTATTCATTAATGTAGTGCTTGTTTATTTTATGTACATTCTGAAAATAACATGCAATATTTAAGCCTGTGAAGTAGGAGATATCTGGCAACAGAGATGTTTGAGTGAGAGGAACTAACTAATGCTAGCACTGGAGGGGACGTTTCTATGGCAGCCTTATTATCTGTGACCTTTTAAAAGACTTTATCGTTGCTTATAACACATCTCTCTGGAATACTTGATTCTTATTGATGGTCTGATCAATGGTTGCCATTCTGTGGTCAGATATGTTTATATATTGGTGCTAAATTGTATAATTGACCATTGTCCCAGGCAGCTATACGATTTCCTACATAGCTGTTAGTCTCGAATTAGTCCGCAGTCATCCTTTAGACAAGGCCGTTAAATTCAAGTGAATTCTGATTGGCTATCAATGTTTTTATCGTTCATCAGCCTGAAAAAAAATGTTCTGGGAGTGATTCCAACGATGTAGATAATGTGTCGTAATCTGTATAGTTGTAAAAAGAGGACTTCCCTATTCCAATGATTGATTATTCAAACTTGATAGTTATTATTGCTATAGTTGTAGTTGGTTAAGTGAACAGGATTTTAATCTCTATGCCTCTTTACTCATAGATCACCGGCATACGTTTCACCACACCCACCACCCCCTGTCCACCCATCTCCCCCCGCAGCGTTTCCGCAAGAGGGTGCTCAGTATGGACTGCCGGCGAAAGAAAAAGAGGAAGAAAAAGAAGACGTCCATGCCCCCGTCAGATGTCACGCCCACTATTCATGAGGTGGATGAGGAGGAGGCGGAGTCTGAGACTGAGGGACAGTGCCAAGCAGCCACGCCTACTGAACCATCTGAAGAGCTGCCACAGGTAACTTGAAGTGTTTACCATATTACTAATTTTGCAGAATGCATTATGTATATGTGACTTTTTAGTACTGATTTCCCTGAATGACTTACTGCTGCATGGTATATTGTATCCCATGATGCAATGCACTTGACTATACCTTCCATTTCAAGTGTGAAATAAGAAAATGGAAATAATATTGAATGCAGGTTTTAATTTTATATCTCGTTCTTGACTCTTGTGATTGGACTCTCAAGTTAAGACATTATTGTAGGGATGCAACTAACAATTTTGATAATCAATTAATCCGATTATTTCCTGATTCAAAAGTATATATATTTTAATTAAAATAACTTAAATTTAATCTTTTATTTACAAAATAGTTATTCCACATCCTGCCCAGTGTTGTCCTCCAACAAAATTGCAATTTTAAACCAATGAAAACAAATATTGTGAATTTATCTATGTAGAGTTTGTGCAATTCAACATTGTGCGAAAAAGGGTTCATATTTAAATTGATTACCATTTGTAAAGTAGTTAAACTTAAAATCATTAAATTAAAAATGACAAAGCCATTACAATAGTCCCTTTGCTATTACTGCTTTCATAAAAAAAAATACTATTACTTGTTATTACTTGTATCTAGATATTTGAACCTACGTAATGGCTAACAAGGAATATTTTAGATGAAAAATTTAGAAAAATGTTTGTTTTAGTCAGAATAATTCTACTACCTAAGTGCAATAGAATGCAAAGATAACCCCTAACAATCAGCACTTACTAAATTAAGCATGCAACATATTATAATGCGGCCATGTGACAATAGTGTAGAATACTATTGCTTGAAGTGTTTCTCATTGCATTTGAATTCACATGCTATTAAAAATAGTATGCTGTATACAGTAGGGTTTCTTTCTGCACCACTAGATATGTTGGGATAACTGTGTGAGAGATGGGATGGGATAATGGAGAGATGCTGACAGGTGTTGTGATCTCACAGCTCAGTTTGGGAAGTGAGGAGGATCTGGCGGCCGATCTCCCTCTCACCAGCTTCCATATGGAGAGTGAGAGACCCCCGAGCAGTGAGGAGACCCCACCCAGCCCCGCCGGAATGGAGGAGCTGGAGGAAACACAAGAACGACCGGATGGAGGAGAGGAGGAGGAGGTTTCCAACAGGTATTTGACTATTTATTTAAAATAATCTTGAAGAGCTAAAGACACTTATGCATGTTAAATGGGTTGATCGAAGAATACATTATAATTCCATCATTATTTACTCACCATCATATCGTTCCGAACAACATTTTGTGAAAATATTGAAAAGATATTTTTACTTGCAATCATATTTCTTCAATCTGGATCAGATATAATAATTATAAGCAAGCTAATGCGTATGTATATATATCACACACACACACACACACACACACAAAAACAAAACATAAAATATAAAAAGTGCTTTTTCCATTTGTGAACTGTCACCATTGGCGTTTAATGCAACAAAGATAGATAAATTCAATAAATTTTACTAATAGACCTATCTGGCCTACTAATTTCCCCTCTTGTAATTTGACTCCAAATCTCAGGTGAAAACTGTCAGTTTGACCTCCCTCCGTAAAATAGTGCATTCCTCAGTAAATATTCATCCATTACATTGAAAAAAAAAAAATAGAATGAACTTGAAAAGTTGTATTTGATTGCCCTCTGCTGGCTAACTGGCTTATTGCAACATATATAAATTATGCACAATTGGTTAAGGTTAATGTACAAATAAACCATCATTAGACATGTATTTATAGCATGGCCTGCATTATTTAACTTTAACTGTAGCTTTGAATTATGGGCCCCCTGACTGTATATTTGTCTGGGTCTCTGACATTAAATTAATGCAAATGCACCAACATGATGTGCAGTGGTTTAGTGAGTTTAATCTAACTTCATTTTTTTTTTAATTTAATTTAAAATACGCTTCCGGC